GTATATAGGTCTATATATGTACTTACTTGGTAAGACCCTTGACCATGCTATTGAGAATCGGTATGCTTGAGCCTTGAGTTTTACTAGTAGTGCTACATCCTCCTGTTCAGATTAATTATAAGAAAGTTAAATATATTAGGGTTCCAAATTTAAATGTGGAACAAATACATCATATATATACATATATTCATCACTATTGATTCAAGCTTCTCACCTTGTAAAGATGATACGAATCACAAGCAAGGTCTGCTGAACTCCTATCTGGAACTTTTTCTGTATGTAACAAACCAATATATGAGCATGACTGGTTCTTTCTAGGAATCCATACATTGATCGATTCGATCGGTGCATAATAATACAGTACTACGTAAATGATGTTGTTACCTGGATATCTATGAGTGTAGTAGTCCCATCCATTCAATGCTCTATATGCAGCACCTTCAATCTGGGAGAACAAATTATATATAATCAATCATTCTATTTTGTAGAAAAATTATTTACTTGAGAAATATTGTTACTGTTACGAACTGATACCCAAAGGCCACAGAGATATATGTATATATGTATTTACCTGGTATGCAGAAGTAGCTGCACCAAAAGTGAAATTCTTTGCAAATCCAGATCGGTTGAATGTAAGAACATTGTCGCAGTTGAAGGGTTCTTTAGCCTTGCATTCTGGATTGCACAAAGTTTGACTACTTGCAACCACAAAGAGAAGGACAAGGATGGCTAAAGAGTAGAGAGCTTTTGGAATGGCCATGGATGAGAGATCTATGGTTTATTTGATGGGCTTATAGACCGATGTTGATTTGATGATGATTAAATGATGAACTTGGAGGGGTTTATATACAAGAGTTTGAGTGCATGGGACTTGCATGGAGATAATTGAAGTAAATTCCTTACGTATATTTGCATTCAATTTAATCATACATGAACTCCACCTCGCTGTCTTTTTCTGATTAAATGATAATTACATTTCATCAAAACTATATCCCTTATGATGTTTTTTTTTTTCTTTTTCTTATAGAAACTTCTTGTTAAATTTACGGCATCATTTATTTCTCTTATATATCTAGAATACGTATATAGCTTTACACGATATGTACCTGTACATGTCTGCGTGAGAATATATGTTCCTTAATTATAGTTTATATGCAATTTTTTAACTCAATCAAACGATTACATTTTACGTACCATTCATTTTTTTTATTCATTTTAAATCTTCGTGAATGCATGATATGGGTTGGAGCCTGGAGGTTTAAGTTCCGTGTGTGTGTGCCCTTCTCCTTTAGCGTACATTCTAGCTAGCCAGCAGCAACCTTCGTTCTATAAGCAAACCATGACTTGTCTAATTGCTAAGTTTCAAAAATTTAATTATGAAATTACAAACCCTATTTTAAGGAACAATATTACTAATTAATTACATTTTTTTTCTTATAACTCTACATGAAATTCCGGTACCATTAACATATATTTTAATAAATCTAGTGCCAACTATTATATGGTGTGTAATTTATTTTTATTTGGAATGTAAAACTTCTATAAACACGACACCAATGAAATGTCTATGAAAATTAGTAAGGTAAAAAAATACCATGGCTAAAAAAATAATAAATTATTAAGCTAAAAACTATTTGATATATATATATATGGCGGGAAAAAGTAAATGTTTTCTAATTTGATGTCTTTTGGAGAGAGAAAGAAATAATGAAAAAAAAAAAAAAAAAAAAAAAAAAAAAAAAAAAAGAGAGGATACTACGTAAATGATTGATACTATATATAAAAGTTCAAACATGTTTTTTCTTGGGTTCAAAAATGAAAGACTATTCTTTGACGAGTAAGTTTAGGGTATCAAAACGATGAAAACCGAAGTGGTCAGACTTTGAGTGGAACCGATTGACTTTGGGTCAGATTCTGCATCTAGAACTCGACTGACTGGTTTGGAATCTGGAAATATATATATGTCTATCATCTTGGAGTCAATTCATGCATATTCCTCTATTGTTTGACAACCAAACGTTCGTCGGAAATACCTCACATCACCACCAAATGAGAGATCCTTAGATGTTTGAAATATATCACCAATGCCCCCTATAAGAAAACGTTCTGCCTCCGCCACTGATTGTATGGTGTGTAATTTATTTTTATTTGGAACGTAAAACTTCTATAAACTCGACAACAAGGAAATGTCTATAAACTTCTGGTGACATGTAAAGGAATGAAAGGAATGAGAAAGAATGGAATGAGGAGGAATAAAATATATGGAACTCATTCCTCCTCATATTTTATAAGGAATAATTTAACACTAAAATTCCCTAATTAATATGGAATAACAAGGAATAATATGGAATATATATTCTATGTGAATGGTGTAATTTTTAAGGAATGTGGGGGAATAAAATAATTCCCCTTATTCCTTGGTCACCAGTTACAGCCTATGAATATAAGTAAGGTAAAAAAAATCATTGCTAAAAAATTATTAAGCTAAACTCTTTCGATAAAATAGAATTATATATATATGGCGGGAAAAGTGAATGTTTGCTAATTTGATGTCTTTGAAGAGAGAAAGAAATAATGTACCAGAAAAAAAAAAAAAAAAAAAAAAAAAAAAAAAAAAAAGATACTACGTAAATGATTGATAATTTGATACCATATATAAAAGTTCAAACATGTTTTTTCTTGGGTTCAAAAATGAAAGACAAGTCTTTGACGAGTAAGTTTAGGGTATCAAAACGATGAAAACCGAAGTGGTCAGACTTTGAGTGGAACCGATTGACTTTGGGTCAGATTCTGCATCTAGAACTCGACTGACTGGTTTGGAATCTGGAAATATATATATGTCTATCATCTTGGAGTCAATTCATGCATATTCCTCTATTGTTTGACAACCAAACGTTCGTCGGAAATACCTCACATCACCACCAAATGAGAGATGAATCAAGTGGCTTAACTGTATCCAAATTTCATTTTGATATAAATATAGTAAGGTTTCCAATAAATTCCAGTTTCCATAGTTTGATGCACGTATCTTTTTGCAACACAAAATGGCTCTCTTTTCTTTTCTTTTTTTTTCCTAAAACGACCTATAAACAGTAGATAGAAAACCTAAGGATTCTGAAAAAAGGCTTGGCTCAGTAAAAGACTAAAACTAAAACTGTTTTTAGAAAAACAAAAACTTAAAAAGACGGTAAAACCATAGCACATTAACAATCTTAACCAGCTTAAAACAAGATGCTATGATCTATTATAATTGCTCAGAACAATTCCCAGAAGAAGAAATAAGCATTTGACATTGGTTTTGAATTTCATATAACATCCTTGGTTGAATATTTTGGTACGCGAACGTGGTAATGATATCAACTTAGAGCACGTTACAGATTTTAGAGAAGTTAAACTTAGCAAGATGAGTATAGAGAACAAGACCAAGAACAAGCACATAACAAACTTCATATAATTATAAATTATGATTTATTTATGATTGACCGAGATTTAAGGTCAAATTATTACAACGTTTTTAACAACGTACATGACACATAAGATTTGATAATGAACAATACATATAGTACAATAGTTATTAGATTTTGAGGTTGGATACATGGAACTGATATATATCTATGTCGCAGCCCCTTATTTTGTGATGAATGTAGAGTACCATTTGCCAGAATCCTTTTGTCTACGGTCACTAGGATTAGTAAAGTTGACCCAATTCATACCAAACCGGAGAGTGTAACCATTTCCAAATTCGTAATTGTCCATTAAGGACCACGCGAAATATCCTGCTACTTTGGATCCGTCCCTATTAGAAAAGGTTGATGTACGTTAACATTTATAATTCTAATAAAAAAGGAAGTATACGTTAACAATACACGAGTTTTATAACTCACGCAATGGCACATTTGAGACACGAAAGATGGCTGCAATGATTCTGAATTCTTTTTGTGTCAGCAAGAGCTTCTCCAATCGGTAAGTTTCCGTTTCCTGGATCAGCAACTCCTGAAACACACAAGATTTGATATTAAACACACATTTACGTTTTTTTCTATTGGATTAAAACAAAATATATATGTACATACCGTTTTCAGTAATGTAGGTAAGTGGGTTTCCGTAGTTGACTCTGATGTGATTTAGAATCATACGGAATCCTGGAGGATAGTACACGAAGCTAGGAGCCTGTAGAAGAAGAATAAGACAAGAATAAAAACCAATGTTGTAATCTTCTAATAAAAAAAACAATATTCCAAATTGAAATCGATTCTCACCACAACGCCAATAGGATCTGTACCCCGATAATCTGAGACCAATTATACGGAAATAAAAAAGAGATTAGCTAAGATAAAAATCTAATATATTCTATAAAAAGAAAAATCGACAAAATAGTTTAACATACATGTAAGTGTAATTCGTGGATCGGTTGCGACACTAGGTATTGGAGGAATAGAAATAGATGCGTCGGCCGTATAATGTGTAACATAATAGTTCAACCCTAGAAAATCAAGTGATCCTTTGACTAAAGCTGATTCTTTAGGTTCGAATGTTGGCAATCTATCTCCAAGCATCTTTTTCATTATCTCTGGATAGTCTCCATACACCAATGGATCCAAGAACCTTCATATATGTATGAGCAATATTCACAAACTAAATTCATTGAACATATATGGGTGATGTGAGAATAAATTAATTGAATATATACCATCCGACGATGAAATCAAATGCCCGTTTTGAAGCAGCCTTGTCCGCCTCACTAGTTTCGTTTAATGGTACGAACCATCTTCCAATCAAGGTCGTTCCTATTTTACCACCTTGAGATTTCTGCATAAAGTAAATCGAAACTGATGATCATCTTGAAAGAGATTATGTACGATTGATTTATATATTTCTATTTATCTATATACCTTATATCTTTCACGGTACAAAGCTACAGTAGTTGCATGAGCTAGAAGTTGGTTATGTGCAACTATATAAGGTTCGGTCGCAGAGTTTCCTCCAAATTCACAGCCGGTGCACCGTCCCGGTGGATACGATCCATCACCATAACCTTTGGTTGCGAGAGAGTAAGGCTGGTTCAGAGTGATCCAAAATTTGACTCTGTCTCCAAATCTTTGGAATAGAAGCTCCGCGTAGTTGGTGAAATCCTCCCTGTTCATGTTTCATATCATATATATTAAATATGGATAGATCTGTACATAACCAAACTAAAGAATTTAAACAAGTATTAGCTGATGGACTTACACTATACGTTTGTCTAGGAAGCCTTTGTATTCGTCTTCTAAAGTTTGAGGCATATCCCAATGAAATATAGTGACATATGGTTCAATGCCTGTGAATCGTATTCATGCCAGTTAATTAATTAACTATGATTAAAACCGTATGACTAAGTATTACTATTAATGAAGAATTCTGAATTTACCATTCTTTACTAACTCGTTGATGAGATTGTTGTAGTATGAAATACCATTCTCGTCGATTCCTCCACTCAGTCTTCCCTCTAAGATTAGTATATAATCACAAATTAGTTAAGTACGTAGTTTAACTATGTAAATAAATATAATTAATATTCTTCTGTTAATAATTAGATGTAGAGATGAAGAAATGACCGAGGTATATAGGTCTATATATGTACTTACTTGGTAAGACCCTTGACCATGCTATTGAGAATCGGTATGCTTGAGCCTTGAGTTTTACTAGTAGTGCTACATCCTCCTGTTCAGATTAATTATAAGAAAGTTAAATATATTAGGGTTCCAAATTTAAATGTGGAAC